GCGGCAGAGGCCTACGTGACGTTGCACCAGCCTCAGGCCCGCTGTGCGTTCTCCCAGGGAAGTTGTCCCTGGATCCCGGGAACCTGGCAGTGGCGGGCTGCACAGGCTCCCCGGAAGAGCGGTGTGGATAGTGACCTGTGCTCGCACATGGGCCCCTTGGTGGCGGCAGCAGCAGCCTTAGCATCTCCCGCCCGTCCCTGGAGTCCGCGCTTTTAGCGGCGGCTCGCGCCCGCCTCTGGGGTCCGCGTTTTTACCCGCGGCTCGCACCCGTCTCTGGAGTTCCTTTAAGCAGCGCTCTTAAACCCCTCTCCGCGCGCACCGGGAAACAAAGAGGGAAGAAAAAGCCTCTTGCCTCTCTCCCGGCTAGCCGTGGTGCACTAACCCCTTCAGGCTGTGTTCACGCTGCCAACCCCAGTCCTCTCCCTGCACTCTGAGCAAAGCCCGAGCCTCAGCTCGCAGCCCCGCCCACCCCGGAGGGTGAGCAGAGAAGCCTCTGGGGCTGCTGAGTGCCGGTCGGCACCGATCCTCTGTGCGGGAATCTCCCCGCTTTGCCCTCCGCACCCCTGTTGCTGTGCTCTCCTCCACAGCTCTGAAGCTCCCTCCTCCGCCACCCGCAGTCTCCGCCCACGAAGGGGCTTCCTAGTATGTGGAAACGTTTCCTCCTTCACAGCTCCCTCCTACTGGTGCAGGTCCCGTCCCTATTCTTTTGTCTCTGTTTTTTCTTTTTTCTTTTGCCCTACCCAGGTATGTGGGGGAGTTTCTTGCCTTTTGCGAGGTCTGAGGTCTTCTGCCAGCATTCAGTAGGTGTTCTGTAGGAGTTGCTCCACGTGTAGATGTATTTCTGGTGTATCTGTGGGGAGGAAGGTGATCTCCGCGTCTTACTCTTCCACCATCTTCTCCTCTGCCTCAGTATTTGTTTTTATATCACTGATTTATTTCATCTGGGATAATATTCTTAAGGTTCATTCAGGTTGTAACATGTGTCAGAATTTCCTTCCTTTTTTTTTTTTTTTTTTTTGAGAGTTCTTGTTTTGTTTTTTATTATCTTAGGCTGTGTTGGGTCTTTGTTGCTGCACGTGGGCTTTCTCTAGTTGTGGCGAGCGGGGGCTACTCTTTGTTGCGGAGAGCGGGCTTCTCATTGCAGTGGCTTCTTTTGTTGCGGAGCACGGGATCTAGGCACACGGGCTTCAGTAGTTGTGGTGCATGGGCTTAGTTGCTCCATGGCATGTGGGATCTTCCCGGACCAGGGCTCGAACCCGTGTCCCCTGCATTGGCAGGCAGATTCTTAACCACTGCGCCACCAGGGAAGCCCGTCCTTCCTTTTTAAGGCTGAATAATATTCTGTGATATATATACACACATACACATATACCATGGAATATTATTTTGATTATCCATTCATCCATTGATGGACATTTGCATTGTTTCCACCTCTTAGCTGTTGTGAATAGTGCTGCTATGAACATGGGTGTGCAGGTATCTCTTCAAGACCTTACTTTCAATTCTTTTGCATATATACCCAGAAATGGAATTATTGGATCATATGGTAATTCTATTTTTATCAGTAGTTTTTTCAGGAACCTCCGTAATGTTTTTCAAAGCATCTGCACTGTTTTACATTCCTATCAATGGTGTATAAGAGTTCCAACATCTCCACTCTTTCGTCAGCATTTATTTATTGTTTTTTTGATAAGTAGCTGTGTCAGTGGGTGTGAGGTGGTATCTTAGTGTGGTTTTGATTTGCATTTCGTTGATGATTAGTGTCTTTTCATGTGCTTGTTGGCCGTTTGTATGCCTTATTTTGAGAAATGTCTGTTCAAGCCCTTTGCCCATTTTTTGTTTGTTTGTGTTTTTGGCGGTATGAGGGCCTCTCACTGTTGTGGCCTCTCCCCATTGCGGAGCACAGGCTCCAGACGTGCAGGCTCAGCGGCCATGGCTCACGGGCCTAGCCGCTCTGCGGCATGTGGGATCTTCCCGGATTGGGGCACAAACCCATGTCCCCTGCATCGGCAGGTGGACTCTCAACCACTGCGCCACCAGGGAAGCCCCTTTTGCCCATTTTTGAATTGTGTTGTTTGCTTTTTGCGGTTGAGTTGCAGGAGTTTATATATTCTGGGTATTAACCTCTTTTCAGATATATGTTATGCAAATATTTTCTCCCACTCCATAGGTTGCCTTTCGCTCGGTTGTGTCCTTTGTTGCTGAGAAATTTTAAATTTTGATGTAGTCCAGTTTACCTAATTTTACTTTTGTCACTTGTGCTTTTGGTTCCATATCCAGGAGATCATTGCCAAATCCAGTGTCGGGAAGCTTTTCCCCTGTCTTTTCTTCTAAGAGTTTTACATTGTTAGTTCTTACACTTCAGTGTTTGTCCCATTTTGAGTTAATTTTTGTATATGGCGTAAAGTAAAGGTCCATGTTCGTTTTTTTGTATGTGGGTGTTCTATTTTCCCAGCACCATTTGTTGAAAGTATAAATTTTTTCTTGTCTGTTCTTCGCTGTAATTATGTTGAGATTCATCCAGGTGGTTGTGTGTATTAATAGTTTGTTCCTTTTATTGCTGCGTAGTATACTACAGTATGGATGTGCCACAGTTTGTTTAATCATCTGTCAAAGGGCATTTTGGTTGTTCCCAGTTTTTGGCTATTATGAATAAAGCTGCTTTAAATATCCATGTATAAATCTTTATATGGACATACATTTTTTGGGGGGGGGTAAATACCTAGAAGTGAAATTGCTGGGTTGTGTGGTAACTCTGTTTTACCTTTGGAGGAACTGCCAGACTTTTCCACAGTGGCTGCACCATCTACATTCCTACTAGCAGTGTATGAGGGTTCCAGTTTTCCAACATCCTTATCAACACTTGTTATTTTCTATTTATTATTATTACTCTTATTATTATTGCCCTCCTATAGTGGGTGTGAAGTGGTCTGTCATTGCAGTTTTAATTTGCATTTCCCTGATAGCTAAAGATGTTGAGCATCTTTCTATGTGCTTATTTATCATCCAGTTTATCTTCTTTGGTTGAGGGTCTGTATCTCTTTTGCCCATTTTTATTTTTAATTAGTTGTTTGTTTTCTTCTAAAGTTTTGAGAGTTCTTTATGTATTCTAGGTCCGAGTTCCTTATCAGGTATGTGATTTACAAAGATTTTTCTCCCAGTCTGAGGCTTGTGTTTTAATTGTCTTAGCAGTGTCTTATGAAGAGCTGAAGTCTAACTTGTAAATCTTCTCCTTTGTTGCTTGTGGTTTTGGTGTTATATGTAAGATATTTTAATCTAACTCAGGGTTGCAAAGTTTTTTTCTTATATTTTCTTCTAAAGGTTTTATTGTTTTAGATCTTATGGTTAGATCCATTTTGAGTTAATTTTTGTTTAGAGTGCAAGGTGTAGGTTAAGGTTCTTTTTTTTTTTTTTGTGGTACACAGGCCTCTCACTGTTGTGGCCTCTCCCGTTGCGGAGCACAGGCTCCAGACGCACAGGCCCAGCAGCCATGGCTCACGGGCCTAGCCGCTCCACGGCATGTGGGATCTTTCCAGACCGGGGCACGAACCCGTGTCCCCTGCATTAGCAGGCAGACTTTCAACCACTGCGCCACCAGGGAAGCCCTAAGGTTCATTTTTCTTTGCATATGAATGTCCAGTTATTCTAGTACCATTTATCAAAAAATTAAATGATCTTTTAAAACAAAAATTTGGTCATATCACTCTCTTGCCCAAAGACTTCCTTTGGGTCCTCATTTCTTTTAGGAAGAAATCCTTAACATGATTCATAAGGCTTTACATGATTTTGGTCTTGTATTATAATACAACTCTCACCTCCTCTCATCTGTAACTGCCCATCTTATACTCTAAGCTCCAAACATACTGAAGTTCTTTCAGTTCCCTTAATTTCTTTCTGCTGTCTTCTGGGATTTTGCAACTGCTCTTCCTTCTGCCTAGAATGTTTTCTCTCCACTCCTCTGTCATCTGACCTTTATCTACAAGTTATATATATTCTCCTGGAAGCTTTCCCCAACTCTGGCCCTCACTCCCACCCTTCATTCAGATTGGATCACCATCCATTCCTTCTTTGTGTACATACAGCACTTTTTACTTTCCTATCATGGCACTGATCATGCAGTATTGAATTTGTTGGTTTATTTGTCTCTCCCTCACTAATATGAGGTCTTTGAGAAAGTAGTGCTTGACATGTGGTAGGTATTCCATAAATATTTGTTAAATGAGTGAATGATTGTCGGTGAGGTCAGGCAGAGTGACTAAAGAAGCATTGTTGTACTATTCTTTTGAGGTTGGAGTTAACAATGAGTGTATGTCTAAGAATTTCCAAAATTAAAGATTCTGTTGAATGGCCTTCAAGATTGAATTTCGAGTAGAGAATTGGTCTCTTTCTAGCTAATAATTTATACTCTTGACTGGTCTATTTGGACAAGCACATTCCCCTTGTCTTAAGTGCCTGATTATTTAATGGGGTCGATGAACACTATTCAGGGTCCCAGGAGAGGACAGGCCTTTTTGACCAAACCAGTGGCAGAGGTAGAATGCACTTTAATTTATTGCTACTGGGATTGGGGCCAGTGCTTTTGTAAAGCATGCTTATCATCTAATTGTGAGAGTCATTCTGAAGAAGGCGTTTGAGCAATTGGACAATCAGATTTGGTCATCAATCTAACTTAACTCTTTGAGCATCGTGAGGGTGGGGGGAACACTGTCTTTGAGAACTCTCAGTCAAACCCAAGGGATATGGGGCTGAAGGTACCACTGTTCAACATATTCCTACTTATACTGACTGAGATCTTGGCCTCTATTTATTATCATGATTTAAGTACCATAGGAAAGAACAGCAGGCTGAGTACTGGGCAGCTTTATGTAACTATTGATCTCTGTGGGCAGTTTAAGGAAGCATCAAATTGTACGTTATTGTAATTATCCCCACCTTCTAAGTATGGCTAGACATAGAGCAAATGTTTCCCACCACCCTTTGAATCTTTTTCTGTACCTCAGGTTCGCACTGCTCCTTGGAACACCACAAGGGCCTTCATTGCTGCCATGAAGGGCAAGTGTCTCCTGGAGGTGACTGGGGTGGCAGATCCCACAGGGTGTGGTGAAGGATTCTCCTATGTGAAGATTCCAAACAAACCAACACAGCAGAAGGTGAGACTGTCTGAATTTCTAGAGGTTAAAAATCAAGGGAGGAAGGAATAGAGGTTAAGGAATGGAGATGAATCGGTGAGGATCTGGAAAGCCATTAAAATGTTGACAGGATGACTTAAATGCCTACTATAAAGAGTTTTACTAGTATTCTCTCTTGTTTTGTTTCTGAGGTAGGATGATAAGGAGCCTCAGCCAGTGAAGAAGACAGTGACAGGAACAGATGCAGACCTCCGTCGCCTGTCACTGAAAAATGCCAAGCAACTTCTACGTAAATTTGGCGTGCCTGAGGAAGAGGTGGGTGTGGAAGAGAAAGACTTACAGGCTCCTAGGGGCTTTGTATAGAGAGGGAAAAGCTTGGAGGCAGATGTTAGGAACTAATCTGGAGAATTTTGTAGGGTAGGTTGTGGTAAACTGGATCTTAGATACTTTTTCAGGAGTTAGCTTTCCCAAAGCTATCTGTTTAACCTGCTTTGGGTGATTTCATTGTTGTGTTTTTTGTTTTTTTGGTGTTTTTTTTTTTTTTTTGGTCTAACTCTCTAACCGTGTACCCTGGTTTGTCCTTTGAAATCCCTGAATGATTTGTGTGTGTCTCTTGTAGATTAAAAAGTTGTCCCGCTGGGAAGTGATCGATGTAGTACGCACAATGTCAACAGAACAGGCCCGCTCTGGAGAGGGGCCCATGAGTAAATTTGCCCGTGGATCAAGGTTTTCTGTCGCTGAGCATCAAGAGCGTTACAAAGAGGAATGTCAGCGCATCTTTGACCTGCAGAACAAGTGTGTTGTTTTAGTGCTGTAGAAAATCCAGGCTGGAAAGGGAAGGGGTCCCAGACATTTTATAGTGAAGAGAAGGTCACCTAATAAAGTGACTAGTGGTCAGGTATCTGAGATTTCAGGGTGGTGTCTATTCATAATACTGCTAGAGTACCTACTCCCTTCAAAGCAGCTTGGCAAAGGTTTTGAATGGCAAGAACTGCTAGGTTCCATGGCAACTTTTGTGGCCTACTTGGGCCTGGCAGCCATTACAGTGGTGATGGGCAACAGTAGGCTTAGTGGTTAGAGGATGGTAATGCTCTATTTAAAATGACCAATGTACTGATTTGTTTCTCAGGCTTTTTCCAGGAATTGTGAAAGAGTTGCAGTACTATTTCATATTTTGAACTTGCCTTGTGACTAAATTTCTGGGAAAACTTCGTAGAGCTTCTCTGTTCAGGGTCCCATGTCTTAGTGGATTTTGAATATTTCTTTTTTAAGGTTGATTTCTCAATTTCCTACTCTTGCCTAAACTAAAACTGTATTTCTTCAGTTGTTTCTACACGTTTATGTTTCCCTCTTCTTAACATTGTTTTTTCTTTTTAGGGTTTTGTCATCAACTGAAATCTTATCAACTGACACAGATAGCAGCTCAGCTGAAGACAGTGACTTTGAGGAGATGGGAAAGAACATCGAGAACATGTTGCAGAATAAGAAAACCAGCTCTCAGCTGTCACGTGAGCGGGAGGAGCAGGAGCGGAAGGAACTGCAGCGGATGCTACTGGGTGAGGGTAGTGACTTCACAGACAGACAAGAAAAAGAAAGATGAAGAAAGTGTAAATAACCACGCTAATAACTGAGGTAGAGCTGGAGGCAGAAGAAGTAGGGGACGAGTGTAGAAAAGCCTATAGAAGAGGTAGAGAGATTCTGCAAACTGGACTGTAGGTTTGTCTGTGGGGCACAAATTGAAGAGATGTTGCCAGTCCACTACGGCCTCTGTCTGTATTAGGCCTGGCCAAGCCAGGGCTATCCGTGCTGTACATCAGTTGAGTTTTCTGGGCATTCATCCTAGAGGGTAAGAGTTTTTAATACAGAATCTGTGGATGAATTGGGGGATTGTTAATGAACCCTCTGAAATCACATGTACAATTCTATGCAAATGTGCCTTTTCTGAGAAGATCCATGGCTTTCAGAAGATTCTTAAAGGAGTCTTAGACCCTAAAAAGTTTAAAATCACCAACCCAAAATTGCATAAGTTGACGGTGGGATGAGAAAGGCCTAAATTGGTTTGGGATCTGGTCACTGGGAATGAAAAGAGGAGAAAAATCAAAGGGACCTTAAGATTTCACTCTTGCTTGCTAGAAAGATGGTGGTACCATTGATTAAAGTAGTAAATTTCAGAAAAAGAAGCAGGTTTAAGAAGGAAAGGTGTAATATGTGGTGTTTGAGGTCCCCATGATACTCTCAGTATAGATGTCAAGCAGGCAATTGAAAACTTGGTTGTAGATACTGAGAGGGAGGATAAAGGCTGAAGATGAAGGTTTAAATGACTATTTTCACTCACAGTAGTCTTTCCTTTGTTTCCTCCCTGTAAAAGCTTTGTGTAATTCTGTTGTTCTGGCTACTTTGTGAAGATGTGATAAAGCCTTTCCTCGAGTGTGGTCCTGGACCAGCAGTATCTACATCACATGGGAGCTTGTTAGAAATGCAGCATCTCAGGTCTCACCCCAAACCTACTGAATTAGAATATATTTTAACAAGATCCTCAGATGATTCCTATTCGTTCATATTAAAAGTTTGAGAAGCGTACGCTAGGCCTTGAGACTCTGGAATTTTTCTGTGGTGCCATCTTTTTTTTTTTTTTTGCGGTACGCGGGCCTCTCACTGTTGTGGCCTCTCCTGTTGCGGAGCACAGGCTCCAGACGCGCAGGCCCGGCGGCCATGGCTCACGGACCCAGCCACTCCGCAGCATGTGGGATCTTCCCGGACCGGGGCACGAACCCGTGTCCTCTGCATCGGCAGGCGGACTCTCAACCACTGCGCCACCAGGGAAGCCCTGTGGTGCCATCTTTTTCCCCTGGGTGCTTTTCTATAATGTGACCATCAATTGCTTCCTGCTTGGACTTTATTCTTGTGCTGTTGTTCAGAGGAATCAGAATACAGCTACTGCTCTTCTGTCCTCTGTATGACAAACATGTTTTTTGAGATCCTTTCAGAACTTTCTGTACTTACAAAAATGATAACTCTGACAGTGGTAAAATGAAGTCAGGAAAGGACAACTCAGTGTATTCTTGGGGCTGGTGGTGACTGATGCTTTCTGTAGAAACATAGTTCTGTGGCATGTTGAGCTTCAGGGTTGCCACTCAGCCCCAAGAAAATGGCCATTTGGGTGGTAGGGGGAATTTGTGGAAATCTTTTTCTGCCTTGCAGCAGCAGGCTCAGCAGCATCAGGAAACAATCACAGAGATGATGACACAGCTTCTGTGACTAGCCTTAACTCTTCTGCCACCGGCCGTTGTCTCAAGATTTATCGCACATTTCGCGATGAAGAGGGCAAAGAATATGTTCGCTGTGAGACCGTCCGAAAGCCAGCTGTCATTGATGCCTATGTGCGTATACGGACCACGAAAGATGAGGAATTCATGTGAGTTTGACTCCCTCCCCACTTTCCAGTGCAATAAGAAGAATGATAATGATGGGGAAGGGAGTGAGGGTGGATGCTTGAGTTTTTTATATTTTTAATTTTTAAATATTTTTTTATTTTTTATTTTTTGAATATTCTTTTTCCACACACACACACACACACACACACACTGTATTTTATTTTTACGAGATAAGTAAACTGACACCAAGCATTGTAAATGGATGACCACAACAAAAGCAACAATGATTGCAATTACCAAACATGAAACACACTCATACTATGTCATAGTATTGACATTCAGTCCAGTAATCCTCCACTATAACAGCTCCTTTACTTTGCAGTGAAAATTGATTTGTATATTTTTTGCCTCTGAGTCCTGGTGGGTTTTTTTTTTTTTAATTCAAACAGAAAGTCACAAAAATTATAATCATCCTCATTAGTTCACTCAGTCCCATGTAATTAATTTTTTTAATCTTGATACTTTTTTTTTTAATATTTGTTTATTTATTTATGGCTGCATTGGGTTTTTGTTGCTGCACGCAGGCTTTCTCTAGTTGTGGCGAGCGGGGGCTACTCTTCATTGCCATGCATGGGCTTCTCATTGTCGTCGCTTCTCTTGTTGCAGAGCACAGGCTCTAGGCGTGCGGGCTTCAGTAGTTGTAGCACACGGGCTCAGTAGTTGTGGCTCGCGAGCTCTAGAACTCAGGCTCAGTAGTTGTGGCACACAGGCTTAGTTGCTCCGTGGCATGTGGGATCTTCCCAGGCCAGGGCTTGAACCCGTGTCCCTTGCGTTGGCAGGCAGATTCTTAACCACTGTGCCACCAGGGAAGCCCCATCTTGATCTTTTGTTAGCACTTTTATGAATTGATCAGTTTTACATTAAGAGTTCTGAAAATGCTTATTCACTTCAGTTCAGCAGTATAGTCAGTTACCAGAAACCTGTACTTGTCAGAGTCTTTTCCATGAATTCCTTGAAGATGAAAACCTTTTATAGGAACGTTTTTGCAAAAGCATCAGAGGACACCCAGAACTGTCTGAAAATGACAAAAGACTTGAAAATGACCATGGTTAAAGATTTGATGAAAGTTCATAGTAACACAATTGACAAGGAAATTTCGTTATTTCTGAGATACACATTTTAAAATAATAACTAGAAGTATGACTTATAACATTATACCAGAACATATAAGATTTTTAGAAATTTCATGTAACGTCTGAAACATTTATATTAACGTATGTCCGTAGAAATAACCCAAAGAAAGTTTAGTATTAGTTGTTTTTTTGTTAGCTTGTTTGTCTGTGTCTCAACTTCTGCCCTGCAAACCGGTTCATCTGTACCATTTTTCTAGGTTCCACATACATGTGTTAATATACAATATTTGTTTTTCTCTTTCTGACATACTTCACTCTGTATGACAGTCTCTAGATCCATCCACGTCTCAACAAATGACTCAATTTCGTTCCTTTTTATAGCTGAGTAATATTCCATTGTATATATATAACACAACTTCTTTATCCATTCGTCTGTTGTTGGGCATTTAGGTTGCTTCCATGACCTGGCTATTGTAAATAGTGCTGCAATGAACATTGGGGTGCATGTGTCTTTTTGAATTATGGTTTTCTCTGGGTATATGCCCAATAGTGGGATTGCTGGGTCATATGGTAATTCTATTTGTAGTTTTTTAAGGAACCTCCATACTGTTCTCCATAGTGGCTGTATCCATTTACATTCCCACCAACAGTGCAAGAGGGTTCCCTTTTCTCCACACCCTCTCCAGCATTTGTTGTTTGTAAATTTTCTGATGATGCCCATTCTAACTGGTGTGGGGTGATACCTCATTGTAGTTTTGATTTGCACTTCTCTACTAATTACTGACGTTGAGCAACTTTTCATGTGCTTCTTGGCCATCTGTATGTCTTCTTTGGAGAAATGTCTATTTAGGTCTTCTGCCGATTTTTGGATTGGGTTGTTTGTTTCTTTAATATTGAGCTGCATGAGCTGTTTATATATTTTGGAGATTAATTCTTTATCCATTGATTCATTTGCAAATATTTTCTCCCATTCTGAGGGTTATCTTTTTGTCTTGTTTATGGTTTCCTTTGCTGTGCAGAAGCTTGGAAGTTTCATTAGGTCCCATTTGTTTATTTTTGTTTTTATTTCCATTACTCTAGGAGGTGGATGAAAAAAGATCTTGCTGTGATTTATGTCAAAGAGTGTTTCTTCCTATGTTTTCCTCTAAGAGATTTATACTGTCCGGTTTTACATTTAGGTCTCAAATCCATTTTGAGTTGATTTTTCTGTATGGTGTTAGGGAGTGTTCTAATTTCATTCTTTTACATGTAGCTGTCCAGTTTGCCCAGCACCACTTATTGAAGAGACTGTCTTTTCTCCATTGTATATCTTTGCCTCCTTTGTCATAGATTAGTTGACCATAGGTGCATGGGTTTATCTCTGGGCTTTCTGTCTTGTTCCATTGATCTACGTTTCTGTTTTTGTGCCAGTACCATATTGTCTTGATTACTGTAGCTTTGTAGTATAGTCTGAAGTCAGGGTGTCTGATTCCTCCAGCTCCGTTTTTTTCCCTCAAGATTGCTTTGGCTATTCGGGGTCTTTTGTGTCTCCATACAAATTTTAAGACGATTTGTTCTAGTTCCGTAAAAAATGCCATTGGTAATTTGATAGGAATTGCATTGAATCTGTAGATTGCTTTGGGTAGTGTAGTCATTTTCACAATGTTGATTCTGCCAATCCAAGAACATGGTATATCTCTCCATCTGTTGGTATCATCTTTAATTTCTTTCATCAGTGTCTTATAATTTTCTGCATACAGGTCTTTTGTCTCCTTAGGTAGGTTTATTCCTAGGTATTTTATTCTTTTTGTGGCATTGGTAAATGGGAGTGTTTCCATAATTTCTGTTTCGGATTTTTCATCATTAGTGTATAGGAATGCAAGAGATTTCTGTGCATTAATTTTGTATCCTGCAACTTTACCAAATTCATTGATTAGCTCTAGTAGTTTTCTGGTGGCATCTTTAGGATTCTCTGTGTATAGTATCATGTCATCTGCAAACAGTGACAGTTTGACTTCTTCTTTTCCAGTTTGTATTCCTTTTATTTCTTTTTCTTCTGTGATTGCCATAGCTAGGACTTCCAAAACTGTGTTGAATAATAGTGGTGAGAGTGGGCATGCTTGTCTCGTTCCTGATCTTAGAGGAAATGCTTTCAGTTTTTTCACCATTGAGAATGTTTGCTGTGGGTTTGTCGTATATGGCCTTTATTATGTTGAGGTAGGTTCCCTCTATGCCCACTTTCTAGAGAGTTTTTATCATAAATCAGTGTTGAATTTTGTCAAAAGCTTTTTCTGCATCTGTTGAGATGATCATATGGTTTTTATTCTTCAGTTTGTTAATATAGTGTATCACATTGGTTGATTTGTGTATATTGAAGAATCCTTGCATCCCTGGGATAAATCCCACTTGATCATGGTATATGATCCTTTTAATGTCTTGTGGATTCTGTTGCTAGTATTTTGTTGAGGATTTTTGCATCTATATTCATCAGTGATATTGGTCTGTTATTTTCTTTTTTTGTAGTATCTTTGTCTGGTTTTGGTGTCGGGGTGATGGTGGCCTCATAGAATGAGTTTGGGAGTGTTCCTTCCTCTGCAATTTTTTGGAAGAGTTTGAGAAGGATGGGTGTTAGCTCTTCTCTAAATTTTTGATAGAATTCACCTGTGAAGCCATCTGGTCCTGGACTTTCGTTTCTTGGAAGATTTTTAATCACAGTTTCAATTTCATTACTTGTGATTAGTCTGTTCATATATTCTCTTTCTTCCTCGTTCAGTCTTGGAAGGTTATACCTTTCTAAGAATTTGTCCATTTCTTCCAGGTTGTCCATTTTATTGGCATAGAGTTGCTTGTAGTAGTCTCTTAGGATGCTTTGTATTTTTGCGGTGTCTGTTGTAACAACTTCTTTTTCATTTCTAATTTTATTGATTTGAGTCCTCTCCCTCTTTTTCTTGATGAGTCTGGCTAATGGTTTATCAATTTTGTTTATCTTCTCAAAGAACCAGTTTTAGTTTTATTGATCTTTGCTATTGTTTTCTTTGTTTCTCTTTCATTTACTTCTGCTCTGCTCTTTATGATTTCTTTCCTTCCGCTAATTTTGGATTTTGTTGGTTCTTCTTTCTCTAGTTCCTTTAGGTATAATGTTAGATTGTTTACTTGAGATTTTTGTTTCTTGAGGTAGGCTTGTATAGCTATAAACTTCCCTCTTAGAACTGCTTTTGCTGCATCCCATAGATTTTGGATCATCGTGTTTTCATTGTCATTTGTCTCTAGTTATTTTTTGATGTCCTCTTTGATTTCTTCAGTGATCTCTTGGTTATTTAGCAACGTATTGTTTAGCCTCCGTGTGTTTGTGTTTTTTACGTTTTTTTCCCTGTAATTCATTTCTAATCTCATAGCGTTGTGGTCAGAAAAGATGCTTTATATGATTTCAATTTTCTTAAATTTGCTGAGGCTTGATTTGTGACCCAAGATGTGATCTGTCCTGGAGAATGTTCCATGCGCCCTTGAGAAGAAAGTGTAATCTGCTGTTTTTGGATGGGATGTCCTATAAATATCAATTCAATCTATCTGGTCTCTTGTGTCATTTAAAGCTTCTGTTTCTTTGTTTATTTTCATTTTGGATGATCTGTCCACTGGTGTAAGTGAGGTGTTAAAGTCCCCCACTGTTACTGTGTTACTGTCAATTTTCTCTTTTATAGCTGTTAGCAGTTGCCTTATGTATTGAGAGCGCTCCTATGTTGGGTGCATATATATTTATAATTGTTATATCTTCTTGGATTGATCCCTTGATCATTATGTAGTGTCCTTCCTTTCTCTTGTAATATTGTTTATTTTAAAGTCTATTTTTTCTGATATGAGTTAGCTACTCCAGCTTTCTTTTGATTTCCATTTTCATGGAATATCTTTTTCCATCCCCTCACTTTCAGTCTGTATGTGTCCCTAGGTCTGAAGTGGGTCTCTTCTAGACAGCATATATATGGGTCTTGTTTTTGTATCCATTCAGCAAGCCTGTGTCTTTTGGTTGGAGCATTTAATCCGTTCACTTTTAAGGTAATTATCGATATGTATGTTCCTATGACCAGTTTCTTAATTGTTTTGGGTTTGTTTTTGTAGGTCCTTTTCTTCTCTTGTGTTTCCCACTTAGAGAAGTTCCTTTAGCAGTTGTTGTAGAGCTGGTTTGGTGGTGCTGAATTCTCTTAGCTTTTGCTTGTCTGTAAAGCTTTTGATTTCTCCATGGAATGTGAATGAGATCCTTGCTGCATAGAGTAATCTTGGTTGTAGTTTCTTCCCTATCATCACTTTAAGTATATCATGCCACTCCCTTCTGGCTTGTAGAGTTTCTGCTGAGAAATCAGCTGTTAACCTTATGGGAGTTCCCTTGTATGTTATTTGTCGTTTTTCCCTTGCTGCTTTCAATAATTTTTCTTTGTGTTTAATTTTTGCCAGTTTGATTACTATGTGTTTTGACGTGTGTCTCCTTGGGTTTATCCTGTATGAGACTTTCTGCGCTTCCTGGACTTGGGTGGCTATTTCCTTTCCCATGTTAGGGAAGTTTTCGACTATAATCTCTTCAGATATCTTCTCGGGTCCTTTCTCTCTCTCTTCTCCTTCTGGGACCCCTATAATGCGAATGTTGTTGCGTTTAATGTTGTCCCAGAGGTCTGTTAGGCTCTCTTCATTTCTTTTCATTCTCTTTTCTTTACTCTGTTCTGCAGCACTGAATTTCACCATTCTGTCTTCCAGGTCACTTATCCGTTCTTCTGCCTCAGTTATTCTGCTATGGATTCCTTCTAGTGTAGTTTTCATTTCAGTTATTGTATTGTTCATCTCTGTTTGTTCTTTACTTCTTCTAGGTCTTTGTTAAACATTTCTTGCATCTTCTCAATCTTTGCCTCCATTCTTTTTCTGAGGTCCTGGATCATCTTCACTATCTGAATTCTTTTTCCGGAAGGTTGCCTATCTCAACTTCATTTAGTTGTTTTTCTGGCGTTTTATCTTGTTCCTTCATCTGGTATTAGCCCTCTGCCTTTTCATCTTGTCTGTCTTTCTGTGAATGTGGTTTTTGTTCCACAGGCTGCAGGATTGTAGTTCTTCCTTCTTCTGCTGTCTGCCCTCTGGGGGATGAGGCTATCTAAGAGGCTTGATGGGAGGGACTGTTGGTGGGTAGAGCTGACTGTTGCTCTGGTGGGCAGAGCTTAGTAAAACTTTAATCCACTTGACTGTTGATGGGTGAGGTTGTGTTCCCTCCTTGTTGGTTGTTTGGCCTGAGGCAACCCAACAGTGGAGCCTACCTGGGCTCTTTGGTGGGGCTAATGACAGACTCTGGGAGGGCTCACACCAAGGAGTACTTCCCAGAACTCCTGCTGCCAGTGTCCTTGTCCCCACGGTGAGCCACAGCCACCCCCACCCCCCGCCTCTGCAGGAGACCCTCCAACGCTAGCAGGTAGGTCTGGTTCAGCCTCCCTTGGAGTCACTGCTCCTTCCCGTGGGTCCCAATGCGCACACTACTTTGTGTGTGCCCTCCAAAATTGGAGTCTCTCTTTCCCCCAGTCCTGTCAAAGTCCTGCAATCAATTCCCACTAGGCTTCAAAGTCTGATTCTCTAGGAATTCCTCCTTCTGTTGCTGGATCCCCAGGTTGGGAAGCCTGATGTGGGGCTCAGAACCTTCACTCCAGTGGGTGGACTTCTGTGGTGTAAGTGTTCTCCAGTCTGTGAGTCACCCACTCAGCAGTTATGGGATTGGATTTTACTGTGATTGCGCCCCTCCTACTGTCTCATTGTGGCTTCTCCTTTGTCTTTGGATGTGGGGTATCTATTTTGGTGAGTTCCAGTGTCTTCCTGTTGATGATTGTCCAGCAGCAGCTAGTTGTGATTCTGGTGTTCTCGCAAGAGGGCGTGAGAGCACGTCCTTCTACTCCGCCATCTTGTTTCCTCCCGATGCTTGAGTTTTAGTGACAGGATTCTGCACAGTTGTCCCTGTAAGTCTGTTTTAATTGGGAACCATTTTGCCTTTGGAACTTTGGGTTTGAACAAAGCCAAATCACGGGGAGAATTCCAAATTTGCTGCAAAATAAAGGCATGTTTTTAGTTCCACTGGGTCCTTTGTATTTTCATTGGTTGGTTGGCAAAAATCTTAGGGACTCCTCAGGGCTTCTCATTCTGAGAGAGGTGCCTCTCTGCACGTGGAAGAATGATGAGCAGGTTAGATGGGGATGCCAGGTAGCCCCTTTTGTTTCATTATTGATGGATTACTTTAGTCCTGAGATGTTTGCTATCAGGACAGTGTTCTTGGTTTAAGTTTGCTTATGGATCTGTGATTTTTTTCCCCATCATTTAGTCGCAAATTTGCCCTTTTTGATGAGCAGCATCGAGAAGAGATGCGAAAAGAACGGCGGAGGATTCAAGAGCAACTGAGGCGGCTTAAGCGAAACCAGGAAAAGGAGAAGCTTAAGGGTCCTCCTGAGAAGAAGCCCAAAAAAATGAAGGAGCGTCCTGACCTAAAAGTAAGTGTATGTGGTGTGATCATAACTAAGAAAGCATACCTTTTCCCTTAGCTTTTGGCATCCTCCCTTACTGGGAATGAGGGCAGTATTGTGGAAAACTAGTTTGAATTGATGTGGCCGCTTGGGTGTTATTAGTACTATTGTGACTGGTACTGACAACACCAGACTTGATCTGGTGTCTTTGGGTGTCATTTATACTTCATCCATTGGAAATATTTTCTGTGAGTTGAGATAGGCGTGGTGGATTTTTTTTAACATGTACATATATGAACACATCTTGTTTTTCAATTGCATGTATTAAAAAGCAACAGAAAAAATCATACAATACAGGTTGCTTTGCATAATTTAGGTGGGATTCCAGATATTACTGTGCAGTGTAACTGTAACGTGCATCACAAAATGAGGCAACTGTGGTACAGTGGAAAGAGCCATGGACTCGGAAACAGAAGATCTGGGTTCAGGTTCTTGTTCTGCCATTTAGTAACTCTGTGACCGTAACCTCTCCAAACCTGTTTTCTCTTCTATAAAATAATACCTATCTCACACTGGTGTTGTATTAAAGTATATAATGCATGGGAAGCACTTTATAAACTAAAATTCGCAACAAATGGGAACTGCTGTTAACACGTACTGAGGTCATTAAGTATTTTAATGTTTCTTTCTTCCATGTGATATTATATAAGTATTGTATGATACAGTATTGATCCATTTTACAGATGAAACTGAGGGCAGTTGCAAAAGTAAGATGGAGACTTGGGCTTTTTGGTTTTTGGGGTTTTTTGCCACACTGCACGGCTTGTGGGATCTTAGTTCCCTGACCAGGGGTTGAACCCAGGCCCTCTGCAATGAGAGCACGGAGTCCTAACCACTGGACCACCAGGGAATTCCCGGAGACTTGGTATTATTAAGCCTTTTCCTTGAGGCTGGGAATACACCCATGCTGGCTGCCTGTGAGGCTGAATGCAGCCTTGGGCTTCCAGTAGCCTTTCTTATGCATATTTAATATTTTCGTAGTTTACAACTTAAATTGGGGGTAGAAATCCGCTCTCTTCTCTCCCTCACTTGGTTTTTAAAGTAATGTTCAGTCTCTGGATTTCATTTTGTTTTTAATGTGTCATTTCCATACATGCACTTTTGTCTAGTGCCTTCTGGTTGAAAGGCGTATAACGATTCTGTTAGAATAAAATTTCTGGGCCTGCCTTTGTTTCTTTTCTACTTTGTATATATTTCTTAAAGCTAACAGGAAGAAGCCTGCTTACCTCTGACATGTTGATACTTTTCCTTTTGCAGCTGAAATGTGGGGCTTGTGGTGCCATTGGGCACATGAGAACAAACAAATTCTGCCCCCTTTATTATCAAACAAATGCCCCACCTTCCAACCCTGTTGCCATGACAGAGGAGCAGGAGGAAGAGTTGGAAAAGACAGTCATTCATAATGATAATGAAGAACTTATCAAGGTTGAAGGGACCAAGATTGTCTTAGGGAAACAGCTAATTGAGAGGTAAGAGATAGCAGGTGGGAGAGATCTGTTGGTGGTTATCTGATGGGTGGCAGGGGTGGATGTGATGTGTTCTCTGAAGTGGAACTGAGGACATAGGAACTTTGATGGGTTTTCCTCACTAATTGTTGCCAGTAATGAAAATTAGTCTTGTGAAGCACTCATTAAGCTCCACCACTTGCCCTTGGGCATGCTACCTAACTTTTCTGAGTCTTAGTTTCCTTATTTAGAAAATAAAGTCACCCTTACAACGGTAGCTATGAAGGTAAAATGAGGGAGACTGTATAAAAAATGTAGTATAGTGCCTGGCATATAGTAGATGCTCTTCCCATTCTACTTCCAGGCACTTGTAGTATTTGTAAGGTCCCTGATCTCAGATGTTCTGATAATGGACCATCCAAAAAGATTAAGGAGACAAACTATGCTTATACTTATCTGTCTCTTGCCCTCAGAGAATTTGATAATCAAGTAGAAAAGTTTTTAAATAAAACAAATTCTCCCCTAAATTTTTAGTTTGAAAATTGCAAACCTACAGAAAAGCTGAAGGAATAATAAAGTTTGTTGTTCCTCTTAATTCACCAGCTGTTAACATTTGTCACATTTGTTTCATCTTTATATATCTAAAACATTTTCTTTCTGCTGAAACATTTGGAAGTTTTAGGCATCATGGCATTTCACTCAGATTCTTTAGCACACATAAAGAATAAAGATGTGGCAAACATGATAATATTACTACATGTAAGAAAATTAACATTAATTCAATAGGATCTAATATTCAGTCCTTATTCAAATTTCCCCAGTTGTGTCAATGTCCTTTATTGCCTGCCCCTCACCCCCCTTCAGGATCCAATTCCAGTTCAAACATTAAGTATTTTGAGTCTCTCTTAATCTACAACTGTCCTCCCCACCGTTTTGGTTTTCATGACTTTGAATGTTTTGAAGAGTCCAGGCCAATGGTCTCATAAAACATTCCACATTCTGGATTTGTCTGTTTTCGCATTGATTATATTCAGAGTAAATGTCTTTGGCAAGATTACAACGTAGGTGGTATTATGTACTGCACCACATCAGGAAGCAGATAACGTCAGGTTTTCTCAGTATTTTGATTATCTTATTAAAGTGTTAATCCTCAGATTCCTCTATAATAAAGGTATGTTTTTTCCATTGTAATTAATATGTGGGTGAATATCCTGATTTAAAAAAGATTTTTTTTTGACTGTGTTGTGTCTCCATTGCTGCACGTGGGCTTTCTCTAGTTGTGGCAAGTGGGGGCTACTCTTCATTGCGGTGCGTGGGCTTCTTGTTGCAGTGGCTTCTCTTATTGCGGAGCACAGGCTCTAGGCATGCAGGCTTCAGTAGTTGCAGCATGCGGGCTCAGTAGTTGTGGCACATGGGCTCTAGGGTGCGTGGGCTTCAATAGTTGTGGCATACAGGCTCAGTAGTAGTTGTGGCTCTTGGGCTTAGTTGCTCTGCAGCATGTGGGATCTTCCCGGACCAGGGATCAAACCCGTGTCCCCTGCATTGACAGATGGCTTCTTAACCACTGCACCACCAGGGAAGTCCCTTTTTTTTTTTTTTTCTCAGTAGCTTGAAACAACATACATTTATTATCTCACAGTTTCTGTGGGTCAGGAGTCTGGGCACAGCTCAGCTGGGTCCTCTGCTCAGAGGCTGCCTTCAAGGTGTCACTAGGGACTGCAGTCTATCCTGCTAACAATCTTTCTCTCAATAGTTTTAACATCCATTGATGATCATTACCTGATAACTCAGTTATTACATTGGGGGTTGCTTAATGGTGGTTTTTCTAATTCTTTTCATTCTTTCTACGTTAACTGGCATTCTGTAAAGAGCTTCCCCCTCCCTTTTTTGTTTGGGTATTACTATAGATTCTGAAATTCTTTCTTTTGGAAACTTTAATATATTAAAATCTATTAACATCATTATTAATTTTGATGGCCAGATTGTCCCAAATTTGATCCCTTCAGGCCTGACCTGTGTCCTTTGGAAATGACCCTATAAATTTTGAAAACTTCTTTGCTTTTTGGCTCGAGATGTTCCAGGCTATCCTTGAAATTTCCCTGTCCCAGACCCAGAATCAACCATTTCTCAGGGATTCCTGGTTCCTTTTATTGCAGAATGGTATTTAGAAAACAATATCTAGGTGTTAGGTATGCTCATTGCCACTGAGATGTCATTGCTTCTAGGCTCTTAGTAGACAGAACTAGGAAATATACATATATTGTAAATCACAACTTCATATCAATACCTCCAATTCAAATTGTATCTACGGCTTCTTCCTCATCTTCCTCCGTTTCATATTTGTATCCTTTCTTTGGTTCCCAACATCTTGCTCTGTCCTATGATATTTACAAAATAGTTTGAGAATTACAATACCAATACTACTACCAATAGCAAATCTGTACAGTAGGTTCAAGGTGTTTTCTGTAATTAGTTGTCCTTGGATTATATGCCACTGAAGTTGTACAGTCAGGGTATTCTATTCGAAATATATTTGAATTCTTTTTTGAGTATATAATTTTTAATTAATTTGATATGCAGTTATATTCATTTGTTTCTGTTTCTGTTTAGATTTGAGGGTTGTTTTCCATCCTCGTTAATTTAATTTATCAATATCTATAGTAGTCATGTTTTGAAGCACATTAGAAAAGGAAAATGTAGTATCTTGATCCCATATGATGGAAAGGAAGAAGGTGGATGGGCTTTTAATGATTGAGGGAGACTCAAATTAGTTTTTCTTTTCAAACCTGCTTTAATTTCTTCCTTGTTTCTATTCTGAGTAAGTTAAATTTCCTAGCCCTTTAACCGAAAGATAGAATGTTGGAGCTGGGAGGATTCTTGAAATTCCTTTAGCCTAGTTCCCTTATCTTCCAAATAGGAAACTGAGGTGAAGTTGTGGCTTGCCTAGTTTTTTATTAATTTGGAGATCCTATGAGGCCTTGCCTGATCTGAGCCTTAGAATGTGGATGTCTGGCCTTTGGTTTGGCTTTTTCCTCCCCAGGCTCATGCTCAGGTACTTTGGACTTTTTCATTGTAGTTGCTTTTTTTCTGGGGACTAGAAATAGGGACTGCACACTATGAAAGTGTTATTGATTGCAGTGCAGATGAGGTTCGCAGAAAATCTCTGGTTCTCAAGTTCCCTAAGCAGCAACTTCCTCCGAAGAAGAAACGGCGAGTTGGAACCACTGTTCACTGTGACTATTTAAATGTGAGTATTGGCATTGCTGCTTTCTGACCACATAGGGTTCTCATTAATTCCCCCAGCCCTCTAAGCCATGGCCCTGATATAGCCTTAGATTCTCCCTTTGGCCTTGCCCTGAGAATTACGTGTACTGTGCATTACAGGGTTTCCAAAATATATATGTATTGGCGTTTATTTTTTTTTTTAATCTAAAGAAGCATTCTGATTTCTTGTTTTTCCTTAGAGACCTCATAAGTCCATTCACAGGCGCCGGACAGACCCCATGGTGACATTGTCATCCATTTTGGAGTCTATCATCAATGACATGAGAGATCTTCCAAATGTGAGTTCATTTCATTCAGATCTACAGTATGGATGGCAAGGCTGTTCTGTGTGATTTCAGATAGATGGCAGTAGAGTATAGTCCTAGGAACCTGGAACTCCTGATTCTTTGGGATATAGTTTTTCATTTATTTTTTAACAGTTTAGTAGAGGAAACAGACCTGCTCCATCTAGAGATTCCTTTGAGAGTTGACGGCCAGGTAGAGGTAAGATGTGAGAGAGTCTTGAAGAATTGGTCTGGCAGTTGTTCTTTGCTCATGGATGGTGCTGGCTCTTGTTTGCACAGACGTACCCTTTCCACACTCCAGTCAATGCAAAGGTTGTAAAGGACTACTACAAAATTATCACCCGACCAATGGACTTACAAACGCTCCGTGAAAATGTGCGTAAACGCCTCTACCCATCTCGGGAAGAGTTCAGAGAGCATTTGGAGCTAATTGTGAAAAATAGTGCAACCTACAATGGTAAGAATCACCTGTTCTTTGACTGCAAAGGTCACCTTTCAGATCCTTATTTATCCCTTACTAGTCCTAAATTTAGACTAGATTGGACTGACTGAAAGGACCTACAATGTAGTAGTACATTTTGGGGTTATGAAAATCAGGTAATGTACATTTTAATCATTTAATAAGTATTGCTTCTTTGTATTCCCACTTTTTTATGTATCCTCTAGAGAATTTAGAGAATCTGTTGAAACAATTGCATGAGAAGCAGTGAGAGATAGGAGTGAGCCTATAAGTAAATAGAAGGGAGAGGCATTCAGTGTGGATGGAACCCCCGCAGAGTATATGCTTGTTGACTATATTTGTCTTTGATTTGGTCTACAAATCTGTTATAGGGGCTGTTATATGTCTATTTTGCTCAAAAGCTGGAAAGGCAAGGAGGAAGAAATCTGTTTTCTGAGTCTTAAAGAGTTCAAGAAACAGTATAGCTTCTGCATGTAGAGGATAAAGTTTTCTGGTTTCCAGTTGTATCCTTAGTGTAGGGATTAAGGTTACAGGTAGAGTATGAACTATGGCTCTGCCACTTACTAATTGAGTTACCTTAGACAACTTTTTTTTTTTTTTTTTTTTTTGCGCGGTACACAGGCCTCTCACTGCCGCGGCCCCTCCCGTTGCGGAGCACAGGCTCCGGACGCGCAGGCTCAGCAGCCATGGCTCACGGGCCCAGCTGCTCCGCGGCACGCGGGGTCCTCCCGGACAGGGGCACGAACCCGTGTCCCCTGCATTGGCAGGCGGACTGTCAACAACTGCGCCACCAGAGAAGCCCCTAGACAACTTATTTAACCTCTCATAGCCTCTTCAGTTTTCTTACCTGTACACATGGGACAATAGTAGTACCTAGATTTTAATACGTTTCACAAGCAGGCCTGACCCATTTATCTAGTCTCATCTATAGAGACTGGCTCCCAGACCTACTATAGATAGAGACTCTGGCTATGCTCAGTGTTGTATTTAACTAAATATCCTATACCATGTCTTCATGTCTTTGTACAGTCTTTGCCCTTTGTCTGCAGAGTGCCCTTTATTCCATTTCCATTCATATTTCCAGGCCAACTCATATCATCTCTTCATAAAGACTTATTCAGATTGCCCAAAGTACCCATTTTTTCAATCCTCTGTGCCCCCCTAATACAATTAAATCAAGTTTTATAGCTCTTATGTGTTATATATAATTGTTCATATACTGATTTTCCCATCACTTTGTGACCTCCTAGAGAGACTATTCATCTTTGTATTCCGAGGGCGTAGCAGAGTACCAGACACATACAAAGGAATAATAAATTTATTAGTCCCAACTGTCATTCAAGGTGACGAGGATAAATGCATAAACAAAAATCAGCTTGGAAGGGGAATGGGAAGGTAAGAGTTGACTTTGGAAATACAGAGCTTGAGGTACTTGTGGGTCATTTAGGTGGCAGTGTTCGTAAAAATTTGGAAATTTAAGTTATGACTTTCTCCACATCCCCCTCTAACTCAATCTTCCTTCTTCCTCATACCCAAATGCTGATAATAGTGATAATAGTAGTAGTGCCACCATTGCTAGTATTGCTGTCCATCTAGTTGTACAACCTAGAAATGTTGGCCATTGTTATTCCACTCTCCCTGCCCTATACTCATAGATCACTAAGTTGCATAAATTGTACCTTCTAAATTTTGCTGGAATACATCCCCTTCCTTTTGGTCTCCATTGCTACTATCTTAGTTGAAGCCCTTGTCGTCTCTTGTTTGACCTCTTGCAATAGCTTCCAGACTTTCTCTCTGCTGCTTGCCTTATTAATTCTTCACACTGTTGACAGGGTATTTTTTTCTGGATACACAAATTTGAAAAATTACTCTCTAGCTTAAAATCTCCAGTGCCTTTGTATCTCCTATGAGACCATTGTAATATGTCCCTTCTTGCCTTTCCAAGTTCCATTTCCTATTTCTCCTCCACACATACCTACCTGTATTCCAGTTGTACCAAACTACTTGTGATTCCTGTTGTGAAATGTATTGTTTCATGTTTCCATGAATTTGCTTACTTAACATGTTTTTGCATACTTTTTCCTCCCTCTGGAATGTTTTTCAACCCTACTGTCTATCTGATAGACTTCTCTTGTTTAATAACACTGCTCGATTGTCATTCACAACAAGCCTTCCCTACTCCTCCCTGGTACTCAGATTTAATTGTTGTAAAACAACTTAAAACACGTTGCAACCCCTCCACAGTTCATAGTAATCAGTGTATTCCTCTATTTGCACTTACACTCACTTTTTAAAAACTTTATTATGGAAATTGTTAGGCATATACAGAAGTAGAGAGAAAGTAAATAAACTTCAGTGCACCTATTCACCCAGTTCCACAATCACCAGCATATATGGCCAGTCTTGTTCATCGTTTAGCCTGTATTTCCAGATGTCATATCATTTCACCTGTAGATACTTCAAGCACTTACACCCTGTCGTGCAATGTTTTATTTTCATATCATTTTCTTTGACTAAACCAAGAGCTCTCTAAGGTAGGGACTGTGTCTTATTTTCCCTTTATTCTCAACACTGAACACATCACAGACAGTCATTAAACAGTTGTTGAATGAATAAACAAATCCCTGTTAATTAATTAATAAGTAGTTGAGAAAAGAGCTGAGTTTTAGGCTCTGGGGAGCACTTACACGAAAGAATTGACAGAGGAAGATAAGAAAGTATACTGAAAGGAAGTAGCCAGAATTACTGTTTTTTTACATGAAAATGTTTTCACTATCCCTATGATGAGCTTAAATTAGGGTAGCCATAAGCAGGGAATGTAGGAGATAGTTGGAGGATTCTGTGAAGCTCTTGTTATGGATTTCAGGGAAACTAAAGTAATAGTCTGAGGTGGGGTGGAGATTCTTTTCTGACAAAGGCTTTGGATTAGCCGTATGTTGGGTGGGCATCGCAAACCATGAGTGCTGCAAACAAAAATTGCAGTCACAAATTTTGTATGTTGAGTCTGGAAAGATTATAAATCATTCATTCGTCTCCTTAGCCATCCTTAAACAAATTGTCATTCCCCATCCATAGTTTTATTTTCAAGGTATTAAAGGCAGCAGTATCGACAGTAGTACCGCTATGTATGGATATACACAAATAAGGGAGAGAGTTAAAATTAGTTTATTCATCCATATTGTGCATCTGCTATGTGTTAGGCACTGAAAAATGGAGATAAGACTGATACATCTGTCTAACCCAGCAGCTAGGCTGGTGCCTGGCACATATTAGGTGATTAAGTAAATGAGTTAAAAGTCTGGAGAGGTGTTGGTAGCTCTTGCCTCCCCCTCCCCCCCCCCCTTTTTTTTTTTTTTTGTGATACGCGGGCCTCTCACTGTTGTGGCCTCTCCCGTTGCGGATGCGCAGGCTCAGCGGCCATGGCTCACGGGCTTAGCCACTCCGCGGCATGTGGGATCTCCCTGGACTGGGGCACAAACCCGTGTCCCCTGCATCGGCAGGCAGACTCTCAACCACTGTGCCACCAGGGAAGCCCTTGCCTCCCATTTTTAGTGGTCCCATCTCTTTTATTGTTCCTCTGTAATCTAGGGCCGAAGCACTCATTGACCCAGATCTCTCAATCCATGCTGGATCTCTGTGATGAAAAACTTAAAGAGGTAAGACATTTAAAATGAGAGAAAAGCAGTAGAATGAAGCTGGCAGGTACCAGTATTGAGGAAGTAGGGAATGTAACAGAAGGAAGAGTAGAGAAATGAGGGAGTAGCAGGTCTTTTGTACGTTAGAGTCTGGAGGGGACCTTAGAAATCATGTAGTCTAATCCCTCCCTTTTGTAGATGGAAAGACTGAGGTCCACAGAAGAAACTAATTTGTCTTGGGCATCATGGCTATTAAATAGTAGGGCTACAATTAAAATATAAAATCCATATAACTCTTAGGAAATTGACTTCCCAGGAAGTCAGCTGAAGCTAAGAGACTGTTTTGGCAGGGAGAAATTTTAATTTTTAAAAGATAATCTATCTGTATTTCATCTTCTTAACAACAAAAAAAATGGTACCTTAATAGGCTTAAAAAATATAAGTATGATGATGTTAATATTGTAGTAGAAATTTCATAAAAGAGGATAACCAAATGGCCGGTAAACATGAAAAGATTCTCAACTTGATTGACCATTGGGGAGATACAAATTTAAACCATGATTAGTTAGCACTGCATACCTCCGTTAGAAAGACTAAAATTTAAAGACTTAAAAAAACAAAAGACTGAGTTTTAGTGGATGAGGATATGGAGCAGTTGACACACAAACTTTTTCCTAGTACAGTCTAAAATGAATTTGTTGGGTTAGATTCCCTTACTCAACAATAATGTGTTCAGTGTTTTCAGCAATAGTTTTACGGCAAAAGCAGTCTGATATTAAAACTTAATTTGGTGAAGATGTTTTTGTTGTGGGAGCTAAGCTATTGATGCCCAGGGATGTATATTTTTGATGATCTACAAGAGTAGAAGATAGAATACCTAAAGGAATTGGTCAGTACATCTCTTTTGATCCTTTTATTGGAATATTATTTCTCTTCTCTGGACTTTTTGTCTGGAACTGAATAGGCCACAGTTCAAAGTTAGACTTTTTGGGACAAGGGCAATAGACAGCTGAACCTTAAATTATCCTTAATACTCTATGGTGATTATACCTCAGGGAAACCTCTGCCTTTCCTTTGCTTTGTTTCATGTTAGAAAGAAGACAAATTGGCTCGTTTAGAGAAAGCTATCAACCCCTTGCTGGATGATGATGACCAAGTGGCATTTTCTTTTATTCTGGACAACATTGTCACCCAGAAAATGATGGCAGTTCCAGATGTAAGTGGTCTGTGTGTTAAATATTGTGAGGATAGTACAGGGGAGAGGAAAGGGTGAAAGGATGTGTGCATGTGTATGTTGGGGAGTCTGGAGTGTGGTGTTTGTCAATTCAAACTGGTATATAATTTTAAAAAGAAACCATTTTGCTCTATGAGTGCATTATCATTGAAATCAAAGAGGCCGGGAATCTGTGATATAGAGAGGTTCTTTATACCTGTTGTTGACATTCAGTATTTTAATGCTCCTGAATAGCCCTGGAGAGAAGTTAGGATGCCAGCTAATGGGAGGTTTTGGATTTAGAGGTGCTTCTTAACAAATGAGAGTTTGATAATTACCCAGCATTCGTTGTCTTTTTTTTTTTTTCTTTTCTTTTTTTTATTTATTTATTTTTGGTTGCGTTGGGTCTTTGCTGCTGCGCGCGGGCTTTCTCTAGTTGCGGTGAGCGGGGGCTACTCTTTGTTGCAGTGTGCAGGCTTCTCATTGCAGTGGCTTCTCTTGTGGAGCACAGGCTCTAGGCGTGTGGGCTTCAGTAGTTGCGGCACACGGGCTCAGTAGTTGTGGCACGCAGGCCCTAGAGTGCAGGCTCGGTACTTGTGGCTCACGGGCTTAGTTGCTCCGAGGCATGTGGGATCTTCCCAGACCAGGGCTCGAACCCATGTCCCCTGCATTGGCAGGCAGATTCTTAACCACTGTGCCACCACGGAAGTCCCGCGTTTGTTGTTTTTTGTTTCATTTTTTGTCTTGCAACTTTATGGCAGGGGTACCATGTTGATTCTTTGTATCATTTTGTAATGATCCTCCCTAGGAAATTCTGAACTGAGTTTCCTTTTGTGTTGTAGGCATATGTTGTGTATGCAGTAACGCTATAAACCAGCGGTCCCCAATCTTTTTGGCACCAGGGACCGGTTCCGTGGAAGACAATTTTTCCACGGATGGTGGGTGGGGGATGGTTTCAGGATGATTCAAGCACATTACATTTATTGTGCACTTTATTTCTATTATTATTACATTGTAATGTATAATGAAATAATTACACAACTCACCATGATGCAGAATTAGTGGGAGGCCTGAGCTTGTTTTCACTTGCCACTCACTGATAGGGTTTTGATATGCGTCTGCAAGCAATTGATTTATTATGGTCTCTTGTGCAGTCAAACCTCTCTGCTAATTATCATTAATTATCATCTGCTAATCTGTATTTGCAGCCACTCCCCAGCGCTAGCATTATCACCTCAGCTCCACCTCACATCATCAGGCATTAGATTCTCATAAGGAGCAGCAACCTAGATTCCTCACATGCACCAGTTCCCAGTAGGGTTCACACTCCTGTGAGAATCTAATGCCACTGCTGATCTGACAGGAGTCGAGCTCAGGCGGTGATGGGAGCGATGGGGAACGGCTGTAAATACAGATGAAGCTTCACTCGCTCGCTCGCCTGCCCACCACTCACCTCTTGCTGTGCGGCCCGGTTCCTAACAGGCCACGGGCCGGTACCGGTCCAGGCCCAAGGGTTGGGGACCCCTGCTATAAACCTTCTGCATGGGACAAGGGAATGAGAGATTTTAATTGTGAATATAGAGCAGGGGTCCTTACCCTACCAGGGCACATGAACCCACAAAGGAATCCCCTTAAATTATATGCAGAGTTTTGTATGATTATGTGTCTTTCTGGGAAAAGGGTCCATAGCTTTTGTCGGAGTCTTAAGAATATTTGTGACCCAGTGAAGTTTGGGAATCTCTGGTATAAAGAATGGTTTCCATTTAATTTCTCATGCTTTCTTTTTGCTAGTCTTGGCCATTTCATCACCCAGTTAATAAGAAGTTTGTTCCAGATTATTACAAAGTGATTGTCAGTCCAATGGATTTAGAGACCATACGTAAGGTGAGTGATTCGGTCTAAAATGTCTTTTGGGAATCAAGTAACTTTGTGTATCTGAGTTCCTGATTCTTTTAATCACAGAATATCTCCAAGCACAAGTATCAGAGTCGGGAGAGCTTTCTAGACGATGTCAACCTTATTCTGGCCAACAGTGTTAAATACAATGGTGGGTATTTCTCCTTTTTTTCTCTTTCCGTCAATATATCCATCCAACATTAGTTAGCATTATTAAAATTTAAGTGCATAAAGCAGCCTTGAGCCATGATAGCAGAATCAGTCAGGTGACTTACTCTGCATTTTTTTTTTAAAACAGGCACGTACTTTAGTGTGTTCTGTAAAGTTTGCTAATAACATTTAATGATGAAAAAACAACGTATATTTATTTTCTAAACTTTGGAAAGCACCGAAAAATGAGATGAGAATAAAAATCAAATGGATATTACTTTGGGCCATCACTGCTTTCCATGAGATGTAAAAACTCACCTATGCCCCAGGCCCTTAGATGGAGCTTAGGGAAATGTGTTAAATATAGACCATGGTGTGCTTCCTCAGAGCATGGAGTTTTTTTGCTCAATATATGAAATGATTGCATAATGTATCTCAGGTGCTGTGCTAGCTACTTAATCTACCAGTGGGAAAGACATCATTGTCCTCAGGTCAATGAAGAGAAACAGTTAAAATGCAGCTTGGCAAGGGCTATATTAGAAGGATGTACAAAGTGCCCTAGAGGAGAGGAAGGAAACCTTCACCTAAGGGTTAGGGAAGGCTTCATAAACAAGTTAATACAGTTAAGTTTTGAATGGCTCACTTAAGTAAACATCAGTTGAGCACCTAATATGTGCTGGCACTGATAGATGTTACAAATATAAAGTCAAATTAGATATGTTCTCTGCCTCCAAATTGGTTATAGTTTAGTTGGGAAAACAGAAAAGAAAAATTACAGAACTTAAGTATTATGCTAGATGCATTCACAGAGTGCCAAAGGAAAACAGGAACAGGATATCTAAGTCAGAGTGGGATTAGAGGAAGCTTTCTGGAAGAGAGTTTTCTTAAGCTGAGTTCTAAAGGATCAATGGAGTTTGCTAACCAAAAAATGAGGAGAAAGCGTTCTAGGCAGGGAGAACAGCAATATATGAAGGCACAGAGACCTGAAATTGCATCTTGGGTTTAAGAAACAAGTTACTGGGGTTGCAGTTAAGTGTACATGTTGATGGATGACTGGTTATATATAGAGAAGTAGACAGGTGTCAAATCATAAGAGGGCCTGGTGTATGCCATATGTCATACTTAAGAGCTTTTACATTATCCTAAATGGAAAAACGTTGAAAGAATTAGGCAGCAAAATGACAATCCCAGATAACTCCTGAAGCAAAACAGAAGAGGGAGCTAAGGGCATTTGAGAGAATTGCCTAGCATACTGAGGTCTCAGCTAAAAATCCACCTGATTGTATGACTTTTCTCCACAATATTCAGGAACCCAAGTAGTGTGGCTGTTAAGTTTGCCAGATAGAAGGGACAGAGAATTAGAAAGAGGAGGTGACAGAGGGGACAACCAGAACGACAGATGAGGAAATGGGTATTCTGGGTTTAGAGAATAGAATATCATGGAGGAATGAAAGAACAGGGTAAGTTCAAGGAACTGTACTTGACTAGAACCTATATATTTCATTAAGAGAAGTGGTAGGAGGGCTTCCCCGGTGGCGCAGTGGTTGAGAATCCACCTGCCAACGCAGGGGACACGGGTTCGATCCCTGGTCCGGGAAGATCCCACATGCCGCGGAGCAACTAAGCCCATGCGCCACAACTACTGAGCCTGTGCTCTAGAGCCCGTGAGCCACAACTACTGAAGCCCACACGCCTAGAGCCCATGCTCCGCAACAAGAGAAGCCACTGCAATGAGAAGCCCGCACACCGCAATGAAGAGTAGCCCCCACTCGCCGCAACTAGAGAAAAGCCTGTGCGCAGCAGCGAAGATCTAACACAGCCAAAAATAAATAAATAAAATAAATTTTTAAAAAGAGAAGTTGTAGGAGATGAGCCTTCCATTTTTGTTCCATCTGGGTTGCATTAAAAGAATCTGCGTTGTCCCTTGTGCCCTTCTTATTGCTGATTGGAAAGTGGAAATGACCTCTGTCAGGTCATTTATTTCTCCATTATTGTCTCCTGAAAACACCTAAAGCTAATCAGCCAAAATTCTGGTAATAGAAGTTGGCAGGCTCACAGGTGTCTAAAAATGAGTGTAACAAGTAATAAGCAAGCAAGACTGTTACAGAGAGGATGCTTGGCCTGGTAATGGCTGCCTGAAGATAGAGGGCAGATTTATGAGGAGCTTATGTAAGGCAACAAGAAAAACCCAGAAGATGCTAATTGAAATGAGAAGAGGGCAGATGGACAAATCACAGAAGACAAAAATTAAATACCAAAAGAAAATGAATATTCAGTTGTACCTAGTAATCAAAGAAATGCAAATTGAAACAGACCATTTTTTTGTCTATTAAGATGAGCTCAATTTCTCTTTTTTTTTTTTAATTTCTTTTTTAATGGAAGTATTCAAAATGCTAGTGAGACAGGTACTCTCACATATGCTGTTGGCAGTGTAACATTGTTAGACATTTTTAGAAAGCTCTTGGACAGCATTGAGACCTAAAAATCGTTAAGTGAACAGACTTTATAGTCAGGTAGACTTGAATTTGAATATTGGCCCCACCACTTCATAGCACTGTGACTTTGGACAAGTAACTTAGACTCTGCTTTCTTTTCTGTAAAATGGGGAAAATAATAATACCCTCCTCAGAGGGCTATCGTGAGGATTAAATAAAATAATGCATGTAAGTGCTTAGCATGTGGTAGGATAATCTATCCTAATCAGAGGTACAGACAAAGCTGTTCATGATAATGTCATTTATATTAATTAGAAATAACCTGAACGGTTAATGTAAAGGGAATGACTAGTTATTGTGCCACCTGTATGATGGATTGCTGTGTAAAGATTGAAAGCTTATTTTAAAAACTAATGACAGTGCTCACTTCGGCAGCACATATACTAAAATTGGAGCGATACAGTGAAGATTAGCATGGCCTGTGCACAAGGATGACACGCAAATTCATGAAGCGTTCCATATTTTTTTGTTATAAAACAGAAACTAACACCATTGTAAAGCAGTTATACTCCAATAAAGGTGTTAAAAAAAAAAACAAGCTAATGACAAAAGTGCTTAGAATGTTAAGTGAGAAAAGCAGAACATAACTTTATGTCATCTCAGTTATGCTTTTAAGAAAAGATACATAGAAAAAAGACATGCTGGTGATAAGTGATTATTTCTGAGATGTAAGGTTACGGTTGTCTTCATTTTCATCTTTTGTATGTTTTCCAAGTTTTCTACTGGTATGGAAGGCAGGAAACTCTTTCATGAGGAGGTGATTTTTGAGCTAAATTTTGAAGGATGCCGATTATTGTAGCTAATTCTTTAGTGAGCACCTGCTGTGCCAAACAAATAGTCAAGTGGAGAAGGGTGGGGAAGAATTTCCAGGTAGATAGTGCAAATGCTAAAAAGATAAGAGTGCCTTGGATAGGGCAGTGCAAATAGTTGAGTTTGGCTAGGGTGCAAAGTGGGAGCTAGTTTTGGTGTTAAGAGATTAGTTTTTAAAGTTAGATGGGGCCAAGTCATGAAAGGCCTAGTATGCCTTTAAAAGGACAGACCACCATAACAGGTATTTTAGTAAGATCGTTCTGGAAGCTATCTGAAGAATAGATAGGAGGGAAAATGAAATATGGAGACCAGTAAAGAAACTATTGGCAACAGTCCAAGTTAAAAGTACTGAGAGCTTGAACTAAGTTAAGTAGCAATAAGAATGGAAAGATGGGGACAGATGGTAGAGATATTGAGGAAGTAGGATTGATACCTTCATAAATGGTTGGAAGTTGAGGGTATGGGTAAAGGAGAGGGAGAATTCAAAATGATGCCAAGTACTCTTATGCTCTTGGTGAGAACATAAATCAGTACAAACTTTTTAGAGGACTATAAATGTGTATTCCCTTTGACTAAGCAAGTTCATCTCAAAGGAATACTCCACACAGGTTTGCAAAGGCATACGTACAAATGTACATATGTTTGTAATTGCAACCTTGTTTGTAATTGCAAAGATATAGGAACATTCTAAATATCCAACAATAGGAAATTAGTTAAATTACAGTACATCTATATGATGGAATATTGTTTAGCCATCAGAATGGTAGATTAGCTAACAAATAAAGCTGTACCTTACATATGCTGATATCAAAATATATCCAAGATATGTACTCTTGAAAACTAGATCACTCAACAGTATTTACAGAAGGAGTTGCAAATTCAGATCCTGTGGAGGCCAGACAGGTAACATTTATATAAATGAGTAAAACAGGCTCAGTAGGAATGGATGAACTGGAGAGCACATCCCCCATCTAAAGGGCTCAGTCACTATTTTGTTCAATTGTTGACATAGAGTAAAATTACTAAAGGGAGAGGTGGAGGATAATCTTCACTTTATACTTTTTTGTACTTAGGTGTTTGAATTTTTTTAATTGAGCATGAAATACTTTTGTAATTAAAAATAAAGAAATGTCCGTTTTTTGGAAGGATGGATAAGTCAGATGACATTCAGAATTCTGACTTGGGCAAACTGGTGGTGTCATTGACTAATACAGTTGTCCCTTGATATCTGCAGGGGATTGGTTCCATGACTCTCATGGATACCAAAATCTGCAGATGTTCAAGTCACTTATATAAAATGGCATAGTATTTGCATATAACCTACACACATCCTCCCATATACTTTAAATCATCTCTAGATTACCTACAATACCCAATACGACGTAAATGCTGTGTAAGTAGTTATAAATACAATGTAAATAGTTGCCAGTGTGCAGAAAAATCAAGTTTTGCTCTTTCGAACTTTCTGGAATTTTTTTTTGCAAATATTTTCGACCTACAGTTGGTTGATTTCCATGGTTGCAAAACCTGTGGATACAGAGGGCTGACTATAATAGGAAATATAGGAGGAGTGGTTTTGGAGAAAAGTGGTAGAGTTCAATTTGGGCTATATTGTATTAAGGTAGGACATCCAAGTGAAGACTTTCAGTAGGTAGTTAGCTATATAGAGGTCCAAAGCTCAGAAGAGAAGTCTGTA